GCATTAGAAATAGGTTGACTGGTAAGTGCGTGATAAAAAAAAACAATCAGTAATCAGAAGTGCAGAGGTATCTATGATAAAGTCAACTGCTCAGTGAGACTCTTCACATTTGCGACTGGAAATCTTCACGACGACGTTTTCGCTCAGTGCCAAGTTGCTCGAAGAACTGCTCAATGTCTTCTTTTTTCACCACTCTCCCCTCTTCCGCTACTCTCTTCAAATGATTCATCAATTTTCCCTTCATTTCTTCATAGCCTGAAAAAAAGAATGACTTCCAGGAACCGCATTTTTAAAGCAATCGAAAAATTAGAGCCACGGCTTCTTCCTGGCAAACTTCGCTCGCATAACAGAATATTTGGAAGCTCACCTCATATCTCTAAAAAAGATTTCATACCCACTTAATTCCATATTTATCTCATGCCCTATTAATACAAGAAAAAACCCCTTAATTCAATCCATATCATTAACCAAAAAAACCCTTAATTTAGTCCATAAATATCATTTTAGACTCAATCAAGCTACCAGTCACTTCAGTTTCGCTCAGTTTTGCATAAAAGCATGACTATGAGAGCCCAGAGAATTCAAAACTGGTTGCTACTACTATAAGGAAAATCATTCTTTTTTTCCTAACCATTTATTGCTTCGGATATTAAAGTTACTACTTTACACAGTAGCTAAACTTATTGGAAAGTGAAGTACCTTGGTATAATAAAATAGCTCCGTCACGACCAGCAGCTTCGATCAGTGCATTTGTCACTGCGCGATCTTCATCACTGGACGATGATGTCTTGTCAGTTTTGTTATTACTGTGTGATGCAACAAAAGCTTGCAAAGTGTCAGCGAGATCAGTCAAAAACGGCACATTATTATCTTCATACAAACTCTGAAATCTCATTTTCAGCTAAATTAAATGTAAAAAAAAAAAACAAGAGTGTTGAGAACTTTTAATATACCTAGGGATTTAAGTACTGAGGGACCAAGAAGTACTGAGGGATTTAAAAGTACTGAAGGATTTGATATATCTGCGGATGTATTGACAACAGGTTTTGTGCAGTAGTATTTTCTATGATGTTTTCGCGCATTTCTCATTTTATCCAAACATATACGTATGTCCATTGCTTTATGAAACTTCAACGATGAAGGGATGAGTGCAAATAATCATGTATTCACTCATTACATCTTTTGAATTATTCAATTTAGTCCGGTTTTTTGAATGTTCCCAGTTAAAACTATATCGCTTCCTTTCATATTAGGAATTAGTTAATATCCAAATCTGAACAAAAAACATTTGCTTGGTTCCCCCACCATAAATACTTCATTTCCTCTTAAAATAAGCAAAAAAAAATCGAAAACATACCAAGCAACTATTGCATTTGCATAAGCGATTTCGCCATTCATATGAGCTGAAAAACAGAGAGCGCGCTTGCTGCTGTTGTGGCTTCTCGTTTTCGTCGGATTTCGGTGCAAGACACTTCAATTTGCACGCTCCTTCCACGCAGGCCTCTTCCTTATACGTATCATCGGCGTATGAAAGCAGAAAACTGAGTTGTGCCACACAACTCCGGCAGATCACTTCTTCCACTTCACTGACATCTACGCTGTTTGCCTTATCTGTCAGATGCTGTAACGTATCGCGATATGTTAAAATGTTACAGGCAATTAATCTTACTTCTACACAGTGGTCTATCTGATAAAAAAAAAATCGCTGCAATATCCCCCCCCCCCCCCCCCCCCCCCCCCCCCCC